TATAACTATGAACATAAGCTGATTTCTGACTTATAAATTAAACATCTCCTGCCCCACTCAAAGAATAAACTGATTTCTGACTTTCAAAAAGCTATAAGTTATAAGTTATAAGCTAAATCAAACACATTAAAATAACTTAAATTAAATTAAAAACTAAAATAAACAACTATTAAACTGCAGCAAACAGGCACAATATCCTCCAATTGGACGGCCGGAAGGAAAGTTAAACCTATGTATATATGGTTTTTTTCATTTTCTTTTTCTTTTTCTCCCTATTTTACAGCAATAACTTGAAGCAGGTTCAAACTTGTATTATAGTCAAAGCTGCCGTCAGAGTACCTTTAGCATAAAAGTCTGACAAAAATGAAAAGTTTAGTCCACTTTGACGTTCTATGCATCTTACTCATGATATATATATATATATATATATTAACAATGTTATAGATCATTAAATTTTTATCATTAACACTATTACTAATGATGTGATAAGTAAAAAAAAAACAAAAACTAAGACACAAAAACACATGTGGCTGTCACATTCCTAGTGCAACTACTAATTAGTGGTCTGCATCATTTTTCATATATATATATACCCTTCTTAAACTAATGGTTGGACACATGCATTGTACCTGATATGTAATTTTTTATTACTTTATAATATTATAATTATATATGTCTCTTAAATTAGTATGTGATATATATATAAAGTTTAAAGATCTGTATAAATAAATTAATTTATATCTAAAATATAATTAAACTAGAAATGAATATATACTCGACCGAAAAATTTAAATAATAAATGAAAAATTTTATATACATAAACATTAATTTATAGTTAGATTGTTGATATTACAATCTTATCTTAAACAGTAAACAATAAACATATCTTTTAAATATATAGTATTACACAATTTTTTTTCTATCAACTTTCGACTTTAATTTTTCATAATCCGTACTTGCAATACAATTGAAGGTATGAAACGAATTGTACAATTACACAATTTTGTTTAATAGTTCATCTTATAATACAAATTCATTGAACCCACTATTGCATATTATTTATATACTATTAGTGTAAGAATGTATTAATATCAATATATAATATATTTTTATATATCAAGAGTTATTAAATCTCATTTCATATGCTATGAATATCTTGCAAAATGAAAAATCAAAAATGCTTGGGAGTTCTAATTAGAGCTACCACTAATGATGTCACAATGTATGTCGTGCCTAGTTTTTTTTTTTTTTTCACCTCACTAGTGATGGATTTATAGCTCCTTATTTAGAGTTCTAAATTATTACTGATGAAAAATATAACATTAGTCATTAGTATACAGTTGTTGTACAATTGTAGTGAAAAAAATAAATATAAAAAATACAATTATTTTCGTGATGTAAATGTTTTGCAAAGTCTTGGTTTGTTATTGAAAGTGTTTGTTGTGGGCATTTGTTTGTATGATATGTATGTATATATGTATTGAACATAAGTTGATAGGAGAATAGTGGCCCTGTTTGGTAGAGCTGTGGGAAAGTACTTATAGCTTATGCGTAAACAGCTTATACCTTATAACTATGAACATAAGTTGATTTCTGATTTATAAATTAAGCATCTCCTGCCCCACTCAAAGAATAAGCTGATTTCTGACTTTCAAAAAAGTATAAGTTATAAGCTATAAGCTATAAGCTAAACCAAACACATCAAAATAGTTTAAATTAAGCTGAAAGCTGAAATAAGCTGCTTTTAAGTTCTGCCAAACAGGCACAGTACACAATTCCGCAGTTTGTTCCTCACAAATATAACTATATTACTAAAGCGATACATGTTAGCAAATTAAAAATATCCGATGGTAATATACACTACAGATTGACAATATATGAATATAGTAGCATGTATATGTAGACATTGACATATATAAAATATTACAAAAATAATATGTTAAATCTTTTACAACAATATAATACAAGTAACAATGATAAGTTAATTATTCATAATTAAATAGTTGGTCATAATGTAGATATTTAGTGTTACATTTTTGTGTTTATACACCATTTTTTAATTAAATTATTAAATTCATATAAAAATTAAAAGGAATTTGTGAATAATTTATGCAAAATTAGAGATTAGTGAAGAAAATTTTAAAAAAAAGAAGTTTATAGTATTTGGTTTGGTTTGGTTTTTTCAAACTTTTGTTTTGAATTTTTTGGTTTTCATTTTTTTTATATATGTATATAATTTAAACAAAAAGAAAGTGTATGAAGATAACTTGCGAATTTGTAAGATACAACATAAATCTCTATTTTAAAAATGCATGCGCTTTCCTCTGTTTAGATTCAAACGAATACATACAACTTTAAGATTCAACCAAAATTATTTGTAGTGATTTGATTAATGATGGACAATTATAAATATTATGTATATCAATATAGAAGCAGACACAAAAAAATATAAAAAAAGTAATTAATTTTTATTCTTCAATATCATCAATGTAAAATTATGGAGACAATTTTTTTTTTTTTTTGATAAGAAGTGAGACGATTTGTTTATATTTATTTAGGACTCTTGAAAGCAGATATATTATTTTTAAGTGTTTAACTCTAAAAATAAAGAGATAGTTAATTTATATAGAACTTTTCATGATTTTAAAAAATATAAAGTTCAAGAAGATAAAATTGAAATTTGAAAAAGTAGAAAACATGACAACATTTTCACATTTTTGTAATAGAAGTAGATAAATGGTGAATAGGCTCAACCGAGAAAAAACAAAAGACTCAAAAGAGTCTCTTGAAAATAAATAAATAGGGACACAAGTGGCAAATTTTAAATAAATAAATAAATAAAATTTGAATGGTTTAATGCACAAGACTTTTGATATTGCAAGGTCGGAAGAGAATAGGAAACAAACAACGATAAGTCTTATAGCCTCCGTTTAGTCAAGGATGGATTTAGGAGGGGGAGATTGTGGTCGCACTCCAAAAAAATTGCAAAAATTATTATATTATACCAGTAATTAGTAAAATAATTTTAAAAGATGAAAAGTTACATATGAAAAATTTATTTGGAAATCTTTTTTAAATACTTGTAATTTAATTAGTGCATTATATATTCTTATATTTCAGTAAATTCTATTATTTGGATATTTGATCTATCAAATTCTAATTATCATATTAAGGTATTTTACGAATAGTTTTATCATTATAAATATTCTTCGAACCCTTAACAATTTGTTGATGTAAACATTATCGTGTGAATATTAGGATTTATTAATAGAAAAATGTTACAAACTTCAAAAGTTCTACCAAATGTCTCACATGGGTATGAGATCCACAGAATATGGGTCCCATACCCATGTGAAACATTTGGTAAAAATTTTGATAGAATTTTTAAAATTTCTAACATTACTCTTCATAAATAAATAGGTAAAGAGAGATAAAAAAAGATTTATAAATAAATATAGAACGTAAGTAAAACATAAATAAGTAAAGAAAGATTTATAAATAAATATCTTATGTATGTATGTTTTTGGCGGCCAAAATGTTATTGCTCACAGTTGAGTCATATCTCACAATGTCCACTTAAACTTAATTATTGGGAGGGATTAACAACGTACTTGATTATGTTTTTAAAAAAATTCTATTTTTATGTTGACTTAATTCACCCTAAATAGACCTAATTGTCGGTAGGCATATGTAGATTTTGAAAGGGGCGGCTAGCTAAATGTTTTTTTGTAGACAGAGCATGTTATTTTTGACTATAATGAAGTACAAAAGATGTCACACTACACTTTGCAAGAATATGAAGCAAACAAGAAGGTTAGTCAAAAGCAAATACATACATACATACATACATGTATGACAAATGGTCACCACCTCAAAATCTATCACCCAACAAAAAATTTAAAAATTAAAAATTAAATTACTTTTTTTTTTATTTTTAATTTTCATTCAAACTTTACTTTGATCCATTATTTTTAATTGTAACAATTTTAGATTTTAACCCAATTTTCGGTGTAGTCTTCCTATCACACTATGGTTTAAAATTTAAATAAAAGTTAAAACATAAATGTTGGAACTGAAATTTGAATGGTGAAAATTTTAAACACATGTGAACACTTTCTGTTTACTTTTTCGACAATACTACGTAGCTCAAATTTTGTGGCTCAAAAGTGGCTCAAATGGCCAAAACGACGTCGTTTTGAGTACAGAACAACATAAAAATGGCCAAAACGACGTCGTTTTGGCCATTTGAGCCACTTTTGAGCCACAAAATTTGAGTTACGAGACATTTTCCTTACTTTTTTAACGGTGAGTTGATAGTAGGATTATATTCAAACAATAATTGAAATTTCATAATTTAATTGTCATAATTAGAAAATAAAGAATTGATGTAAAATTTGAATGAAAAACAGAAAATGAACAATCCAGAAAAACAGATAGTTGAAGAAATCCTCAATGGCCCATCTCTTAGTAATTAACGAACACAACAAAAAGATAAATTAAAAGAAACAAAAATGTTAAGGGTACATACATAGAACACAAAAAATTTGGAAAGTGGGTTGGCTTTTTGGCTTTTTGGCTATTTTAGCCTGGGTTATTTTAGCCTGGTTTGGGAAGGGCTTGGTTTGGGAAGGGCTTTTTAACTTTTTGACTTTTTTGACTTTTTTTGTGAGAGAAGATTGTAATAATTATGGGTTGGATTTGATGTTTTGTTTTTTGTGACTAAAATAACCTATTTTGTTTTTTGTGGCTATTTTAGCCCCTAACCCACCCAAACTTTCTTGCCAAACACCAAGATTTTTTTTTTTTTCTATCTAAAAAAGAAAACGAGGATTTATTTTAATTGTGACCCCTCATCACATTTAGTATGAATCCTAGTTATATTCTAAAACAAAAATATTAAATGATAGAATTAAAATAACAAAAAATACACAAAAGTTTTTATAAAACTTATTTTACATGGGACCTTTTTTGTATTTTATTTGTGTGCTTATAGCATTTCTGAAATTATGAGAAAGAGAGAGATTCTTTTCCCATAAAAGGTTTGCTTTATAAAGAATGTTGCCCTTTTTTGGGTTTCACATAGCAGAGTTGTAGTAAGGGGGTGGATAGTCTTTTCTGTGATCTTTAAAGAAAAGCAAAGAAACACACATCTGAGAGAGACAGAGAGAGAGAGAGAGAGAGATGAGGGTTCCATGCTGTGAGGAGATGGGGATGAAGAAGGGACCATGGACCCCTGAAGAAGATCAGATATTGATTTCTTACATCCAAAGTTATGGCCATGGCAATTGGAGGGCACTCCCTAAACAAGCTGGTAATAACTTTTTTAATTACACAAAAACCCCTCCTCCTCCTCCTCCTACTTCTTAATTTGATACAACTTGTAGTAATTGCTAGCTCTGGTTTGGTTGGCACACACCATGGAAATGGAATTCAACTTCTTGAGAAATTTTATAACACACCCCTCAAAAAAAAGTAAAATAGATGACTCAGTTATGATTTTTATTTCAAAAATAATTTAGACCTCTAAAGGAAGAGCTCTAATAGAGCACTAATTTGTCTTTTTCTTTTCTCTTTTTTATCTTTTACTTCATTGTTTTTATTTTTTTATTTTTTTTATTGATTGACAGCTCATTAGAGCTATCCTTTTGCAGCTCTAATTAGAGCTCCGGAGCATTACCCTTTTTATTTTTACTTATTTTAATATTGTTTTTATAGCTTATTATAGTGTTGATAAGGATTAATTATAATCTATTGTGATTGTTATTTTTAACTATGATTGTAAGGTTTTTGGCTATGCTTTATTTCTTTGGTTATGATTGAGAGTAACTTAATTGTAACACAATTAAGCAATGTTAAAACTATAAAATGTTATAACTTGTATATGATGTATGTTGTAGAATCGCTTTTCAATTTGCTTTTTGAAGCAATCTTTTGCAAATTAATGTTCAGATAAATTTTGAAGGTTCTTAGAAATATTCTTAATCCAAAATCAAAATAAATTCTTTGAAAATCTAATATATATATATATATATTTGTTACAGGTCTACTTAGATGTGGTAAGAGTTGCAGACTTCGATGGACTAATTACTTGAGGCCTGATATTAAGCGAGGAAACTTCACTAGGGAAGAAGAAGAAACCATTATCAAGCTACACCAAATCATTGGAAATCGGTATGTACTCATTGAATCATTAAATGTATATTTGGATCATGAATTTGAATAATAATTTTAGAAAGATAAAAGATAAGGGAAAAGAAATGGAAAAAAAAAAAAAATTCTAATATTTCATTTACATATCTTCAACTTTTTTTCCATCTTTTAAAATTTTTGTTCAAATCTAGGATGTGTGGGTAAGGCGTACGTCCCCGGTTCGATTCCCTACTAGGTGAGTGTTTGCAACAGTTTGAAAAGGGTACACGGCTTTCCACCAGCTACTTACCCCTTAGGATTAGTGACTTCCTTTACAATCAGAGGATTGAGAATACCTGAGTTATCAAAAAAAAAAAAAAAAAGGGCCTAACTGAGAATAATCATTATCTAGCCTAACCTATATTTTGAATATTTTTACGTTGTTGTATTTTTATCATTGTTTCTTATAAGGATCCTTATCAAAAAATGTGTACCATGTCCTATTCATGAAGATTTGTGATCTTATTCGATTATGATATTTCTTTGTTTTTTTATTAGCGAAATAAAATTGTTGATGTGAAAAGATGAGTTATAGAATAAACAACCGAGGAGACAACACCTATCTAATTTATATCTGAGAAAATTTCATTTTATTTTCAAAATTACATCTTGATAATTAGTTTAACCTCGGTACTTTATAAAATTTTAATTTTATATCTAAATTATTTAATTTTTTTATCAATTTAACTCCTGCTATCAGTTACCGTCTATAATTAGGCGGCATTTGTTACTATTTTCATTTGAGATTTCATTTTATTCCTTAAATTATTTCCAAAATATCAATTAGACTCCTAAACAATATGAAGTTTGGGGTTTAATTGATATTTTTAAGTTAATTTTTTTAGGGGGTGGGGGAAATAAAATTTTAAAATTTCAGTGTTGAAATTATAAGAAATGTATAAATTAAATTAATCATCATCTAGATATAAATTGGAAGGTAAAATTATATCTACACATACGTAGTTCCTGAATACTTTTGCCCGATTACGAACACTTACTAAAAGATAAGCGAAGAAAACAAACAGTAAAAAAAAAAAGAAAAGAATGAGAGAATATGGGATGTGAAATAAATATTAAATATAACAGTGACTAACTAATAAAAAATCTCACAATCCAGTAATAGAATTGTAAGGTTGGATTAATGGATTCTATTTACAATTTTGAATTGGTTAGTGACACCAACCTGAAATGGTGTGATTCTCACACTCAATATTTATTCTATATTGGTTAACAAAAGGATATTTATGGTGTCATATGGTCTCCCACTTTTTTCAAATCCAATAGAATACGCTGATGAATACAAATTAGTGTGTATTTAAAAAAATATTTACAAATTCTAAGTCAGTGTGTATTTAAAAAAATATATTTACAAATTAGTTTCTATTAATTTTGACGTAAAATATTTTTGTCAAAAATATTTTATTCACTTTTAGTTATTTAGTTAAACAGAAAGTAAGTAAAATATTTTTTAAGAAATATATTTTTACATCATTTTTTCAAAAATGATTTACCTTTAAAAATTTCATAAGTCAAATTTCACAAAGTTGACTCTCACACTACTTTTTCAACACATTTAACATTTTCAAATAAATATCTAAACTCACTAAAAAGTCAAAAATAACATTTTATTAAATTAAAATTTCTTTTTTAGGCAATAAAATATTTTTATTTCAAGTATCAACCAAATGTTAAAAAAAAAAACAAAAGCATTTTTTCAGTCAAAAATCAATTTATAAGAAAATTATTTTTTTAAAAAAATATTTTACATCGAAACAAGCGGAGCATTAATGATAAATTTTATAAATATTAAAGTATAAAGTGATAAATTTTTTCATTAACTAGTAATTATTTTTAAAAAAAGCACTGAGGAGTAGTTTCCCCATAGAAGTTCATCAAGAAACATCAATGAAAATATGTGTCAACTTAATTCAATTAATAACGTTACTTTAAAAAATTATTTTAAAATTAATAGATAAAATAGTTCATTTATTCTTGTCAAAATAATTGATGGGCTAGCATCCAATTTGAAAAAGCCTATTCCCTTTTGAAGGAAACATTACGCCTTAGATTTCTATCCAGTTTTTTAACAAATGTTATTAATTAGATTAAATTAATATAGAGTAAAAATTAATACAATTATAATTATATAGATCAAATTGACTTGAAAAACAAATTACATAGACTAAGAATATAATTGGGTTAATTATACTAGCACCCCTGCACTTTTATCAAAATTTCACTTTAGTTCCTTCACTTTAATTGTAATAGTTAACTCTCTGCACTTTAAATTAAGTTCTGGTCTTACCCTTCCATTCATTTACCGTTAACAAAATTGACAGAACTTGTTTGAAATAACATGTGTAACGCTTTTGTTGTCTCATTAATAGATTTACACTTTTATTAAAATCTCATTGTAGTCCTTAAACTATCATCAAAATCTCACTTTAGTCCCCACACTTTCAATTTTCATTAGTTTTATTAATGGTAGATGGCTGTAAGGGTGAGGTTGGAACTTGATTTAAAGTGTAGGATAGGAATATAAGAAAAACCAAAAAGACTGACTAAATCGGTTGAACCGAATCAAATTGGCTATATTTAGTTGATTTTTTTAATATGAATCAGTTTGTGTGATTTTTAAAATTAATTTTTTTCTATTTTCGGTTCGGTACCAGTTTAGGCATGCACCTTGTGCATCAAATTAAACTAAAACTGATCGAAAGTTTCCCATATTAAACATCATATATATTAAATATATAATGTAATTGGTTGAGTACGAACTTCAGTTGATTTAATTAATTGTTTTTTTTCTTCTTCTTAAACACTCCATATTTGACAATAGACATTGGTAATGTGATAAGTTTTTAGTTTACTACTTATATGTGCTTGAGTCAGTTTTGCTACTATTATACCTATATAGCTATAGCAGATGTTTATGTCATTTTTATTTTTTTATTTTAACTTTACTTGATAGATTTGTAATTTAGCCTTATGGGATGATGGTTTTAAACTTTGGTGTCAAGACTTCGATTTTCAGATTATAGTTTGCTTCTAATTTTACTTTAGTAAAAGCTTTAAGACTTTAGTATTTATTAACTCTTTTATTTGTATTTTTGTGAATGGTTGGATTGGATATTGAAGTAATGTACAAATGACTAATTCAATATTTTTATATAAATTATTTACTATACAACAAATTTAACAAGTAACTCAAATTTGAAATGGCCTAAATCGAAAACCGCACTGAGCTAAACCGTTTGAATTGGTGCAGTTTAGTAAAAATTTGATCTATATCGGTTCTCAATATAATAAGAACCGACATTATTAATTCGGTGTAAAATTTCTCCCAAACACCGACCGTTCCAAACCGATTATTGACTATTACAACTGAAAGTAAATAGATCGAATTAAGATTTTAGTGAAAATACATGATATTATAGTTTACCCAATATAATTTATCCTCAAATTTTTGCTCTCCTTTTCAACATATACTATAGTCATATGCTTGAATGGGAAATTGACAATTTGAATGTAAAATTTTTCCCAGATGGTCAACCATTGCATCAAGATTGCCTGGTCGAACCGACAACGAGATCAAAAATTTCTGGCACACTCATTTGAAGAAGAGGCTTAAACAAAGTCATCATATGGTAATTGAAAGCTTGACATATGCACCAATTTCTACACAATTTTCCGAGTTTATTTCAAGTTCAGAGTCAGACTCCCCTTTGGAGAAAGTTACAGGACCTGCCAATGAAGAGGAGTACACGATTAATGCCAACGTCAATGATGACATGGCTTTTTGGCACAATCTCTTCATGAAAGCAGGAGAGTAATCACATAATAATCTTGAAAAATAAGACGAATTATGGTGTACCTTTTCTTTTCTTTTTTGTGATTGTGGAGCTAATATGGAGTAGTTTTGATACATTGATGGCAATGAAAAGTTTTACCCAATACAAAGAAATAAATAAATTACACTACCACCACGAACTTACGATTAGTTGAATAATGACCCCAACTCTTTTGAGGTATCAATTTAATGGCGGCACTTTTTTATAAATTCCTTTTCATCTACTTATATTCTATTTAGTTTACATTATTTTCTTATATTCTAGTAAGTCCTATAAATGATATAGTTATCAAAATACCCCTAATAATATTCACATTTACAGTGCGAATGTTCCGTGATGTGAATATTCACACCGTCAATGTAAATGTTTATATCATTAATGTGAATGTTAACATGTCAATGTAAATATTCATATTGTCAATGTGAATGTTCACACTATCAATGTGAACATTCACATTGTAAAATATGAATGTTCACGCCATCAAATTGCTAACCGTTCAAAAAATATTTGTAAGGGTAGAAATATTCATAAAATACCTTAAATATGATAATTATGATTTGGTAGATTAAATGTTCAAATAATAGGACTTATTGAAATATAACAATATCTTATGGACTAATTGAGATAGAAACACTTGAAAAATGATTTTTTAATAAATCTCTCAATTTAATAATACTATAATAATTACATTTATGTGTTAAAAGTTATTTATTAATTAGTTAGAAAATGATATAAATGTTTATTTTCTAAACTCATTTTAAAGATCAGTAATGTGTAAAAAATGTGATTGATTGATAATTAAAAAAAAAAAAACATAAGAAACACCACTAAATTTGAAAATGAATCTAATTTTTGAATTAAAGTAACACACTCATATTATTATTTCATGTGACACAATTATATTTGTTTAACACGTCTCACCTGTTACATTGGTAATCAAAGGAAAGTGCATCATATTTTACAATGTTCAAACAAGATGTCACCATATATTTCGATTTTCAAACCAAATCTTACATGAAATATTATTTATTGTCTTATTACATCATTCAAACCGCGGTCGACCTCTTAGTAGAGTTAGTTTGATCTCGCATACATAAAACTCATAACAAAGCTTAAAACTTATTTCATAATGGCTTAACAAGAACGAGTTGGGATCTTCTCCTTGCAACTTCTCCTTGCAATCTTTCTTGCAATGGCTGAGATTAGCCGTTGCAACATCCAACGGCCATAAAAAAATAAAAATAAAAAATAAAAAAAATTGAAATCAGCCGTTGGATGTTGCAAAGGAGGATTGGAAGGAGAAGTTGCAAGGAGGGGATCCCAACTCAACTAGAACGCCTTTCTTGATGTTAGGGAAAATCGATGTGATTCCCCACAAGTAAATCAATCAATGAGAATAAAAACTAATGCGGAAAAATTAAATCAAAGGCAACACAAGAATTTTTAGGTGGTTCCCTCAATGTGAGGAACGTCCACGGGATCGAAATCCGATTCCACTATCAACCAAATAATTTTTCAAACGATTACAAACGAGACACCAATGGTCTCACAAAATCACCCTTAGGTTAATTCCAAATAATTACAAGTAAATAAAGAGGAAAGACCTCACCAAATAGATGAACCAAAATCTTCAGAACCAGAGTTGAAGAAGATCTAAAATAACAACCCAAATCAACACCTTCTACACGCCGAAGTTGTCAAAGCAGTGCTTGAAAACAAGCCACTGACTTGAATTAATATCAAACCAATTGTTGCTACACAAAGCAAAGTGGACCGAATTGATTACTAAGTGCAATCTCACCAAATTAATTACTTGCTGCTGCTACCCATGGCACACATAAACAACATTTATATATTGTTAAATCTTGGATTTGCTTTACCAAAATCCTAGTGGTTACCAAATTGAATTGGCTCTCTAAAAATTAGATATAATATATTAAAAATATATTATAACTAATACCAAACCAAATTAAACTCCTTTTAACAAACCAATTAGGTCCCACACTCCAATAAGGAGGTATACCCATCAATTCTCCCCCTATCGACTTAGGTGGAGACATCAACCATACCCGCCAAAGTTCGACACTTTAAATGTTTGTCCCTCGACAAAGTCTTCGTCAACATATCTGAAATATTATCATCTGTGTGAACCTTTTCGAGTTGTAACAATTTCGAATCTAACACATCACGAATCCAATGGTATCTCACATCAATGTGTTTCGATCTCGAATGAAAAGTAGAATTTTTACTCAAGTGAATAGCACTTTGACTATCACAATAAAGCACATACTTTTCTTGCTTCAAACAGGATGGGTACACCGAATTTACAGTTACTTTGCCGAAACGGTTCAAGATGCCGCATATTGACTGCTTTGATGGCGCTGGGGACCCAATGGTACACATACGTCTATTTTCTAATATCATACGACCAATGGGTTTGACCAGATTGCAGAAGTTATCACTCTTCAACCAAACTATGTCGGGTGTAGCTGCCATGTGGTATGCTAAGTTGGAGGACTTTGTGAAGCAGAACTGGGAGGAATTGGCGGAGTCTTTCATTGCTTAATACTCCCGAAGTTCCTCGAAGATACCTTAGAATCCATTTTACCGCTGCCCAATGTTCTTTACCCGGATTAGAGAGAAAACGACTCATCACACCAACGGCGTGAGCAATATCCGGCATTGTACAAACCATGGCGTACATCAAAGAACCAATTACTGAAGCATAAGGAACTTTCAACATCTTTTTCTTATCTTTCTCACTTATAGGACATTGATTCGAACTAAGCTTGAAGTGACCCGCAAGTGGACAACCAACCGGTTTTGCTTTATTCATGTTGAACCTCTCAAGAACTTTCTCAATGTAACTTTCTTGAGACAACCAAATCAGCCCCTCTTTGCGATCACGAACAATTTTCATACCAAGTATTTGCTTTGCCGGCCCCAAATCTTTCATAGCAAAAGACTTGCTCAACTCCAATTTCAAACTGTTAATCATGGTAAAATCTTGACCAACAATTAACATGTCATCAACATAAAGCAAAAGAATAATAAATTTGCCATCTGGGAAATTTTTCACAAATACACAATGGTCCGAAGTGGTTTTAGAAAAACCATTATTCATTATGAAAGAGTCAAATTTTTTGTACCATTGCCGCGGGGCTTGCTTGAGGTCATACAAACTTTTCTTCAATTTGCAAATAAATTTCTCTTTTCCCTTTTCCACAAAACCTTCTGGTTGCTCCATGTAAATTTCTTTTTCAAGATCACCATGAAGAAATGCAGTCTTCACATCAAGTTGTTCAACTTCAAGGTTCATACTTGTAGCCATGCAAAGTACAACCCGAATAGACGACATCTTCACAACTGGCGAGAAAATTTCGTCAAAGTCAATACCTTTCTTTTGCCCAAAGCCTTTCACAACAAGACGTGCTTTGTACCTCAGATTCTTGCCATCATTCTTCAATTTGAAGACCCACTTATTTTTCAGAATTTTCCTCCCTTTAGGCAACTTCACTAAATCATAAGTCTGGTTTTCAAGCAAGGAATTCATCTCCTCGTCCATGATCTTTTCCCAATCACCTTTCTTTGCATGCTCAATTGCTTCTTGGTGGCTCTCAGGCTCCCCCTGATCTGAAATCAATAGAAATTCATTGGGAGGATACTTTCTTGAAGGTTGTCGGTCCCTTGTAGATTTCCTCAACTCAAGTTGTGGTGGCGGTTTGACTTGTAAGGCCTTTTGAGCTATCTTTCAAGCTTTTCAAACAACTTCTTTTTGGCCTTAAAACCACTGAATTTCAGAGGAATTTCAGTGGTAGGAAACTTATTTTGAGGCTCAAAATAGGAGGGGGTGGTCCCCTCTCCTCTTGTCTTGTTAGCATGTGTTGTTGGCCTATCAAATGAGCATGTATTTCTCCCTTCTTGAGGCTTAGTTTGAGCATGTTTTTGTGCCTTTTTGGGCATGCTTTAACTCTGATTTTGGCTGGTTTGGTCACTTCTTGCTTGCATTTTGTACTTGTAGTGCAAATCGTGCTTACTAGCTTAACATGCTTGATGTTGTAGCCAATTATTTTAGCATGTATTGGCTCTATTCCAGCACATTTTTAATAATGTTTTGACATGCTTTAGGACTGTTTTTAGTGGTTTTGGTCATATGAGCCATGCTTTGTATAGCTATAATGCAAGTGCTTTCACTAGTCTTGAGTTTTGAGGAACTTAGCATGCTATATTTGTGATGTGTGCATGATATGGCATCATTTGGTATGTAATTTCAGAGCTTATATCTTTGCCATACTTCTACTTAAATCACTCATTAATTGTGTTTGTTGATGAGCCAATGCATAAGCATCTTTATCTTGCCTTTCATGCTATCATTTCAGATCATTTTGGCCACTCTCTTGGCATACATGAGGTCTGTTTAGGGCTGGTTTAGTCCATTGAGCAATGTATTACATAGTCCTAATGTTGTGTACTTCATTTGCTTTGATGCCTAAGTCTTCAAACATGTCTTGCATGCATTGTTTGCATGATTTAATGTTGTTTAGCATGTCATTTCAATGCTAGAATGTATGCCATTGCACTCCATTAATTCACTCTTTCATGTGCTTTGAAAGTGGACTTAAGCCCTTTGTTGGTTTGAGCACAAAATTGAGGCGTTCATGCCCAATGGCATGATGCTTCTTTCATGCTCAAGAAGCTTGTGGTTTGGTCCGTCTTTCAAATTAGAGGACTTCTCACTTTTGGACTTAACCGGTTAAATGGCTTATCGGTAATCTAAAACGAGTAAACAAAATGAATCAAAGTAAAACATGCCAAGATAACATGTTCATGATGCATTGCATATGTTTGGATCGGACGCTAATCTAAACACAAGAAATGAGAGACGTTTCATACTTGAAGTGACGAAACGTGCCTTATTTCTTAGTCGCTGTCCCCCTTGATTGTGCATGATAGGGTGGAGGCCTTTTGAGTCTTATGTGTGCATTCATCAACATTGTGCAAGCTTGACTCTTTGGCAATCATGCATTGAGATGCGTGGTTGATGGCTTGAGAGCCGAGCATTACACTGCTTTGAGCTTGAGACATGATAAGGAGTGTAGTTGTACACACATTTTCTTACAAATACACTGCCATGCCTCTGTTTGTGCTCTGTTGCAGCAAAAGGAGAAATTGCAGGAAGCAGTGGCTGACCGGCCATCAAAGCCAGCCGACCGGCCACTAAGGCTGCCGACCGGCCACCAGTACTGGCTGATGGCCATCCCTCTTAGCCGACCATCCCTCAACATGTTCCTAAGGTGGGTCAGAAGCATTCTGGAAGTTGGCATAATTTTTAAAAGTACAAAAGTGTGCAAACAAACGCATTTAGAGGCAAGGTAGTGGATTTTTGGGAGGATGCGACCGAGCATGCATGCTGCCCCTCGTCCGAAAGGCTATTTTGTCTCTTTACTAGCTAACTGTAGTTAATTACATGTGTTGTAGTTAATTAGAATATTTGCTTTGTAACATTTTAAATTAGCTTAGCATAGCTAGTTTTCAATTTGTGTTGTAATTAATTAGCTAGAATAGCATAGTTAATTAGTTGATTTGTAATAAGTAGTTTAGCTTAACGTAGCTAGTTAGCGCTTATTTATTTGAACCCTCTGTTGAGAGGGCACAATGTTGTAATAAGGGTGCGTGCGTGCGTGCATGTCTTCCAACCCCCATTTCTTTCTCCCTTTTACCTATCAGCTTTTGATGGTTAGTTTAGGACATATTTCAATTAGCATACCTTATGCTTTGCATGCATGCATCATTCATTTTTCTTGTATGCACTGGGCTCGGTGCATCATTTAAACTGCATCGTATTTCAATTCCTATTTGAATACATGTTTTAATTGTAGCATTCATATGCCATCTTAAAATAGCCGAGCCTATTTAGCTGGATTTTGCATGTGTTGCATTAGGCATCTTAACATAGCTAAGATCATGCATTGATTTTTAACTAGTTTTCTTTCTTTGGCTTGGAGTACACTATGAGTATTTATGCTTTAGCATCCTTGCATACATGTAAATGATTGCCATGACAGCATGCTTGCCATGAGGCTATTTGCTGGAAAGCTGTAAGCCCGTAGGGCATTTACTTTTGTTGTTAACGTGTAATACTTTTGTAATGAAGTACTCTGATAAATTGAGGAAATGTGGATCTTTTGTATATAAATGTATGTTTATATTGATGGGTTTAATGTTATTATTTTGAGGGCGTTACAACTTGGTATTAGAGCGTACCGGGTTCGAATACTTTGGGTACGTGGGGAGTGATTGGGATCACAATGGGTTTGTCTCGCTTGATAGAGACTTAGATGTAGTGTCATATGTTATGTGATTAATTGATAACATGCTTATGTGACTATGTGGATATGGGATTTAGTTTTTAGGATGTTGATTGGATCCTTGGATTTCTGGGAGTCCTGTTGGAAAGGCACTTGATCAATGTTGTTTCTGACCCGAACTCTAGTAACGCCTCGGGACTATCATTATCTGGAAATGAAATTCGTAAATGCTTATGTGTTTATGTGCTTACGTGGAGTGAATTACAATTGTCCATGTATTAGGACGTGCGTGTTTAGCTTCGGTACATGTATGAGTGTGCTAACGTGTCTCTGTTACTTTTACTAGGATGTCTAGGCGAGGAAGTTGTGATTTCCCTCCTTCCGCTCGGGAAGGGTTGCGGAAACAGTTTGTGGAGTTACGCCGAGGTACTACACCTTTGGTGCGGTTCGAAATGTGGTTTGCTAATCTGTCGAGGTTTGCTCCAGAATTGGTGGAGACGGAGGACTTGCGTTGTTTCAAGTTTGAGAGTAAGCTGCATGACGACATTCGTGTAAGGATAGCGGGGTCTTGGCATAAAAGATATAGTGTGCTTATTGAGGCGGCTGCTCATGTTGAGGCAGCGGTGTTAGCTATGGGACAAGATAGGGAAGAGCCCATGGTGATGGGTGTTGGCCTCAAAACGATTTGCCAGATTTGGACTCTTTGGTTCAGATTAAGAACCGTGACACAAATCGAGTCCGAACTGTAGCACGAGGTCCCGCGCGGGCGCTGCTACAGTATTCTAGGCCCAGTAAGAGGCAATGGGGTTTAAACTCGCAGCAGGGAGGTCGGGCTAGAACTACCCTTCCCTGGCTCTGCTTTTCTAGTGCCAAGTCTAGATTCGGGAAAGGGTGAACGAAAGGTTGTTACTTGCTTCAAGTGTGGCCAGCTGGGACACAAGTCCCCAGCTTGCCTGCAGAGGAAGAGGGCAGGGTTGTTAGTCCGACCAGTAGCTGCACCACCAGAATCTTCTAGTCAGCCGGGTATTGGGCCAATCGAACGTATAGTGGGGAAGCAGTCATTGGGGCCTTCATCAGCCCAGATTCTGAACCAGTCTCGTGCTCAGGCACCGCCTACTTGTTGGACGTGTAATCAGCCGGGTCATATTCGACGTTTTTGTACTCAGCCGGGGCTTCTTTAGGGGTTTCGCAACCTAGCCAGGCTCAGTTTCATTCGACTGGGCAGGAACAGTATCGTTTTGGGGGACTAGCAGGCCAGATTGCGAGGGCCTCAGTAGAGTCGAGTTCCTAAGCCCCAGTTGGGGAAGTTTGTAGTTGTTCCAGGTGTGGACAGAGAGGGCACGCCGGTAGTTCTTGTCCGTGGTTAGTAAACTCGTAGGTTGTCTTGTGTTTGGAGATGACCAATTTTGGTGGTCCAGCGAGGGACGGCAGTGGTGGTAATACCGAGGGGTTGGTTTCGTTTTGGCTAATCCGTTTTGTAATCGGTGAATTATCGTTTGTAATCATTGGGTTCTGTTGTGTAACCAACGTGTTTTGGGAATGTTGAAACATCTAAACTTTGTTTATATATATATATATATATATACATATATGCTTGGTTTGTTAATTTCCTCAGATTGGGTGGATTGGAGCATTGTACAGCTTTAAAGTTTTATTGATGTGATAAGTTGCTGTAAGACCATAAAATTTTTGGTAAATGCATTCTTATGCGTGTGTTTTGGTTTGGGAAAAGTGAGGGTCGTCGAGCCATGTTCTCAAATTTAGAAGGATCACAGAGGGATACGTATCTTAATCAGAAGTGCAAGGGGGCGAGAACAGTTATACTTACCGGTGTTCGAAATTTCACTAGTGTTATCTAATTGATTTTACGTATGTGAAAGTGATGTTAGTCTACTGTCGCGGGAACTCCTCGAGAAGATGTGGAGTGTGAGATTAATACTAGTTGTAGTATGAAATTAACATGGTGTTTTGCAAGGGCATAGCGCATAATCTTGTTAGGATTAGACTTGTATTTTCGTGGCAGGTAACATTGCCATATTGGCATGTGTTATGATTGGTCATTCGAAAGAGGGAGTGTTGGTCCTTATATAAGGGTGTGACTGTTAACATCGGGAGTGGTGCGTTATGAGCAGCTAGTGCTATGTCTCGAGTAGTAGCTTATGGACGTTTCCTAAGTTTCTGGACTTCCTTACTTTGATTGAAAGCGATAGGTTTGCACCTTAACACTGGTTAGGTCGGGAGGTGCTGTCGTGAAGGTTGATTGGGTATATAGCCCGTGGTTAGAGTGTGACCCGAGGATAGAGTCACAGTAGTATGGTGTTTGCGGATGAAGATGTGGGTTAATGACGAGGGAGGCGAGGACTTTTACTCCTCTAGATAGTTAGGATGGTGAGTCTTTGAAAGCCTAGTCGGCGACATGCGACAGTGTCGGGGTTGGTTCATGGTGGTTGCCTAACGGTAGTTTTGACTAGTGGTTTAGCACGGAGGCTGGGCCTCTGGAGGGTACTCTCGGGATGGGTGGCAGGCAAGATGTGGAGATTTGATGTGATGGTTAGATGTGATGGTTGCGAGAATTGCGTGGTATCAGCAAGATTATGTGAGAATGTTCGAGGGAATGTGAGATTTGTATCTCGAGTTAGTGGGAATGGTACCTATATGTTGGTTCGTGTTTTGGGCCTTGCTAGTCAGTGAGTCTGTGGTAACCCCATCGGGTGTATAGGGGTAGTGTTCGTATTGTGATTGGTTATCAATTGTTGGGTTTGGGTTGTGAGTGGATGCTGGCAGCATTCTTTGAAGGAAGAGCAGTTCGTGTTCTAAGGTAATGAGTATAGTGTTGGTCAAAGTGGTCCTTCGTGTTTGGGTTGTTGTGATTGAGGGTGACCATGTCGGTCTTCAGTCGAGGAAGTAGGCAGGCTTGCTAGATAGTCATGGTGGGGGGCAGTGATTTCCTTAGACGCAGTGTTGATGCGGTTCAATCTTGGGAGATCCGGTGAGATCCCAAAATTCGTGGTTTATGTAGGGAACTTCGTGTTTGGGGTTAGTGGTTTGAGTGGCACATCAGTGTGTGGATTACTGGGTGTAGAGCTTATTGAGTTGATTAGGCGACTTGCCGGTATCGGGTTTTGGGTTGACATTAGTCACCTTGAGTTTAGTCTCGTTTATTGTAGACTTTGTATGTTGATTAGGGAGAACTGAAACTAATCGAGCATGTTTTGTCATTGAATCTGACGATTGGAATAATACACCTAGTATATGTATTGATTGATCATTGTGAATGACTGACTTCTGTACATTATGTATGTATGATGTTTGATCTGATGTTGATACAGCACTTTAATGTGTGTCATTTGTGTATTAAGGAGATATTGCTGAGGCGAGTTGTAATCTCTAAATTGTTGTGCCTCATGTTGGTTATGGCATCACTGTGAGAGTGGTGGTTGTTGATAATATTCTTCTTTGGAAAGAAATGGAAAACAAAATTTTTCTAGATTAATCTTTTTGGCAAATAAACTGTGAGTGACTTTGCGTTTTAGGTAACACCGTATTGGTGAAAAATGTTTACAAAGCTTTTGAATTTTCGTATGGAAAATGCAAGATTTATTCTGGAATGTTAATGTTGAAAATTTAAACATCTTTGAGAAATGCCTCTTGAACAAGAAAATGTTTTCTTATTATCTACTCTAAAGATTTGCTTTGGTCGTGTTGTTGAGTAGTGACTTAGCTTGGAATGCTAGTCGGTTGTTGGTGAATTGTTTCGGGGGAGGTTTGGTTTGTTGAGGCTTGCGTACCTAAGGTGTGGTTGTTTAGAATGTGTTTCCTTGGTTAGTATCTTCCTTGCTAAGAGTAAGTCGGAGGTTTGTTGTGAAAGTAATTTCTTTCCTTGGGGCTCGATTGTTGAATGCTCTGTTATTTAATTGGCCTTGTGTTTTGGCGTATCCTTAATTTCGGGGACGAAATTCTTTAAGGGGGGGAGGTTATAGCGATCCCGGTTATCCCTTTACTGTTCTGTTATTTTCCGGACGCGGTTCTGTGGAGTTGGTGGTTCTACCTATCGTGTTGTCAACCTTTTTACTCTTTTGTTTGAATTTTAGAATGTGTTGGGCTCGGTTGTTTCAGGTGGTTAGAGCTTTAGCTCCCATTGTTGTTGCCCAGTTTTTGAATGGTCCGCTCGAGCGGGTATTCTTGCGCTCGAGCGGGGTTTCCACAGTTTCAGTATTTCGTGCCTCTGCAAAACTTCTGCAGA